GAAATTTGTGGAACCCGGATTGTTGGGTATCATGATTGATTATATATTCATGTTGAGAATTATGTCTCGTGATATGTTTCGGTTAATGACAACCATTTGTGAAAACCGGGTAATGAATCCCCGTGAGCCCAGATAAGACTTGGGTTATAAAAAATGTTGTTTAAACACCCATTGAATTTTAAAAAATGATTTTGAAAATTTTACACTGATTTTTGGAAAGTCCGGAATTTCTTTAAAATCAAAGTGGGGTGTTACAGAGAGTATAGGAAAACCAATGTTGTCTATCACCCAAACAAACCAATGAAAGCAGCCCAATATCCAGCCAACTGTAAACCAAAAAAAAAAAGCATAGATAAACTACTTGAGCTTTTCTCAAAACTGTCACAATCTTTCTTAGGGGAAAAAAGTGGGAATGGCTTATACCTGAGATAGGATGGTATTTCCTGTGTGACCTTCAATGACTAATCCAGCCGTGAGACCAACCATGGCCCATGCGCCGTTAATTGCTTCAATATGACGTCTTTTCTGTTAAAAATATAGATAGATCTCCAGGTTATGAGGAATAAAACAAAAATAGCTCTTACAGTTATGTATAAACTTGTATCCTCTGTCTATACATTTTACATGCCTTGAATCTTTCTTTTGCTTTAATCTGTTCCATTTGTTTTGCAGCTAATCTCTTGGCTTCAACAGGATCAACCATAACAATCTCTTTCTTCGATCTTTCTTTATCTGAAGAAGATGCCTGTAAAAAATAGCAAAAAATCCCTTTTTGTTTGGGGATCTATCCATGCAGAGGTGCTGATTTTCTTGTTGAAAGAGCATTTCAAATATAATTATCTTTCGAGTGATGTGGCTACTTACTCTTGAAATACCTAAAGTCCCATGCCTTAAATATCATCTTTTATAACACCGAAACAATATAGGCAACATCCAATCCAAGTTTACTTTTAGTATCAAAACTCTCAGTCAATACACCCTTATTTGATAGATTTTCAATCCCCAATAGTTAAGTGCAAAATCAAACAATGGAACACAGAGGATAAAACAATGTAGCCTGTATGGAACTCTTTTAAAACTTTAAAAAAAAAAAAAAGGCCAGATACTTGAGAAGAAAAAAATGAAAAAGAAGATTGTTGGCAACATAAAGAAAATACATTTATGCAACAAAGCTCCGTATGCGAGATATGCCCTTGATATCAGATGTATAGAAGGGATGGACTTTCTTTTATTTGATTTATAATTCCTTGAAATTTCTCAAGAGAAGCTCTGTTTCAGTAAAATATGATTTCCTTCCAGACATAGAAGAGGTTTGAGAGAGCAGACCAGATATTTAAGTTTCAGACACAAAAGAGTTCTGGTAACTGCATATACATTGATTCATAACCTGGAACGGTTGTGTCATACAATCCGAGGAACTAAAGCGATATGATTATATGAACTTGATGCACATATACTTCTAGTTACGAGTAAAACTGTGGACTGACAATCAGTTAGAGTGCTTCAATTAGTATTTACAGCTGGAATATCTGCAGCTCAAATCATATGGAAAATCATCAGCGCACAAAGCAAGTTTGACGATCATGAAAAGTATATTTAGCTGATTTTGTATGTATTTCGAAATTGAAAGAACTCAGTTTATGCAATAAAAGCTGCTTTATTTGAGTATTCAGTAACTCTAACTAGGCATACTGATTACATCACTAATCACATTCCTAAAAGGAAATCTTTGAGTATTTTTCAAAACCAATATATTTTGTCATTATACATGCAAGGAAAGCCTTTGAGCGGGATGCATACATTTGGATTTGCAAGGACACGGATTGTATGACTCCTTTTTCCTCTAGAAAACAACCTCAAATCATGTTCTCCTCGCAAACCCCACCTGCAAAATACATGGCTCCCCCAGCCCAAGACAAATGATCAACAAACACTAGCCGAAAAAACACATAAAACATAACAAATTCATCATTGAACCTGTGTTGTCAAGGTCCAAGGTACAACTAATTTTTAAATTTCTGTAATAATAAGCCATTTTTGACAATCATGAAGAGGTTTTTAGCATTATAAGTACAAATTTCAAGATTGTAATCCATGGTTATCTAGATCAAATTTGTTATATTCAATCCAAACCCAGAAATTAGGTTATTCACTGATGAATAAATCATTTCATTTCTAGCAAGAAATTTCCTCACAAATATACTGTCCAAAGCGGAACACCAACTAAATGTTCAGAAAAACA